CGGCTTGGCCGGAGTGCGCCTTAAACTGGTTTAATGTTTAGCCTGCAAGTCCAGATTTCCGCTTCTCTCGGTCACTTGGGGCAACTGGCCACAGGGCCTCCGTCCCCTGCGCGCCCCCCTGCCTGGGAACGAGCTTTTTCAGGTGGTGTTCAGATTACTGTCCAGCCTGGCCGTTATTCTGGTTGCCATCACTATCCAGGACTGAGCCACGTGGCACACTCTTGACTGTAACATTTCCTTTTCCCCACAATTCTCCGTGGAGTTAATTATGGTCTTTTAAAAATTGTGCATAATTTTCTGTGCACACAGAACATGACAAAATCCAAAGGTACACAAGTTGCTTCCATCTCCTTCCATGGTGCGGAGGCACCTGGTATTCTCACCCTGGAGGAAGCCCTTGCCATCCGGCTGCTCCAGCCCGGGCCGTGCCCCTTCCATCCCCCTGGTGCCCAGCAGCCAGCCAGCCTGGCAGCTCCTTTCATCAAAGTTAGGGGGTTCCTAGTGTTTGGGTGTATTTTTTCCAAGCAGAGAAAATCCCCTTTTTCGATCTAAATCATATGTGAAACTCCATTATGTGAAACAGGAAATACATTAATATAAATCATCGATTTACATTTACTTATTATAAACGCCGTTTTTAAGAACAGTGGGATTAGTTTGAAAAGCCCAGTTCCGATTCATCTCGCTTTGTCTTAATTGTGCAGGACCAGAGGTCCCGGCTGGAGGGAAAGGTGATGGTAGGTGTGTTAGCAGCTTTTTCACACATTTCTTCCTCAACGAGAGGCCACAAGAGTTCCCTGAGGGCTGCCGGAGGTGAGGGAGCCCTGTGGGTCCCCAGTGTCAGTGTTTGCTGCTGACAGCAGAGTGCATTTTAGGTGTTAACGTGTTCTGCACATAGAATCAGGTATCTGTGGGCCCCTGAAGCACCTCTGAGTTCACAGGATGCAGCTCCGAAACCGCCACACAGGGGAAGTGGTGGTTGCTGAGAGGCCCAAAACCCACGGTTTCCTTGGCAACACAAATATGATGGGCCAGCCCTGGGTCACTTGAGTGTCCTGGCTGAAGGCCCAGGCTCAGGGCTGAGCAGGTGAACATGCCTGGAAGAGAAGCCTCCAGCACGGGGCTGCAGCACTGGCGTGCGCCAGGCCACGGCCAACAGCCGGCGGAGGAAGCCGGTCAGCTCAGGCCCTGCTCTAACATCCCAGTGGCCCCGGAGACACCAGACCCGGACTCAATTCCCAGCTGTCACTTACCTCAGGTCCACTAGGCTTTCTCCTCGAGTCTCCAGTTCCACGGCCAGTTCGTTCAGGGTGGGGGTTCCCCACAGACCGTCAAAGACAGGGGCAGGCAGTCCTGCCTCCACACACCACCTCGCTATAGAGAGAACCACACCAAAGCCGCCGTCGAGAGCCTTTCCAGTCTTTCTTGTGGGTGGTGAGAAACATCTGTGGCAGAGGCTTGCCTGAGGGACCGCACCAGCCTCCACCTTCCCTCCTTTCCTCCCACGGGCCAGGCCAGGCTGAGGGAGGCTCCGCAGGCCAGGGAGCTGGCTGCTTGCAGCCGACAATGAGGGCAGGCCAACTTTGGCCACAGGTACCAACACCCTCTCCTGGGCCTCAGGTGGCCCCAATGAGCCAGGACTGCCTCTGGTCCTTGGGGCAGGCCCCCAACACCCTGCCCCTTCCAGGGGTCCAGTCTTCCCTCCTCTCACATCTTTGCTTGGTCCTGCCTGGCTGTGACAGCCGGGTGGGCCCGTTCCCGGGGCTGGGAGCTGGGGGGGCATAGAGTTTGGGTTCCGCACGGGCACTGCCCCGGGCTGGGCAGTCCCAGGAGGGCCTGGTTCAGAGGTGACGAACGGCACACCGCGTGTAATCTCTGGGAGCTGTGATGCCTCGCCCTCACAATGAGGCGCTGGCCTCTGCTTCGGGTCGGGCGCAGTGGTCCCTCGGTTTTCCCATGCGATCCGCTCGGAAGATGGTTTGAGCTCCGAAACGTTCCAAACCCGAGGGACCCGCAGCCGACAGCTGGGCCTCAGGATCTTGCCCTCAGCGGAAGCCCGGTGGCAGGTTCCACTTCCGAGGCGTTTGAAAACCGAAGCATTTCCTTCCGGGTTTACGGCTTTTGTAACCGGAAATGCTCGTCAATGGAGACCTTCGAAAACCGAGGCACCACTGTGGCTGGGTCTCTGTCTTCGCCCATTCCCCAAGTGGCTCTTTCGGCTACTTTGGTGCCAAGACAGAAGGCGCTGTATCACTTAAAAAAAAAAAAAAATTGGGGACGGTGTGGCTCAGTTGGTTGAGCCTCGTCCCACGCACCAAGAGGTCGCGGGTTCAGTTCCAGATCGGGGCACATGCCTGGGTTGTGGGCTTGATCCCCAGCAGGGGGTGTGCAGGAGGCAGCCAATCGGTGTTTCTCTCATCGATGTTTCTTTCTCCCTCTCCCTTCCTCTCTAAAATCAATAAAAACATTTTAAAAAATTTGGGGATGCCCGGCTGGGCATGGCTCAGTGGTTGAGCATCGACCTAGGATCCAGGAGATTGTGGTTCGATCCCCGGTCAGGGCACATGCCCGGTTGTGGGCTCGATCCCCAGTAGGGGGTGTGCAGGAGGCAGCCGATCAATGACTCTCTCATTATTGATGTTTCTCTCTCTCTCCCTCTCCCTCTCCCTTCCTTTCTCTGAAATCAATAAAGATATATTTTAAAAATAATAATAAAATAAATAATAATAAAATAATAAAAAAAATTGGGGTAAAATATACATAACAGAAAATTTACCATTTTAGCATTTTTTTTAAGCAGTGGCATTAGTGACATTCCCGTTGTGTGACCATCACCACTGTCCGTCTCCAGGATGTTCTCTTCTTCCAGAATGGAAACTGTACCCACTAAATGTAACTCCCTACTCCCCTCGTCCCAGAGCCTGGCAACCACCATTCTACTTTCTGTCTCTGAATTCTGACTACTGTAGGTCCCTCACGGAAGGGAAATCAGACAGCACTTGTTGCTCTGTGTCTGGGCTATTTAACATAGCGTCCCCACAGTTCATCCATGGGATAGCACGTGTCAGAATTTCCCTCTTTTTAAAGGCTGCCTGTGTTCTTTGAGTCCTGCTTTATGTCTTGTGTGAACACTATTGGCTCCCACCCTTGAAACCAATTTACTTTGAAAATATGCAAATCTCGAGAGGCCACTGTGTTCTGAATCCTTTACTCATCTCACCTCCAGTGGGTGGACCCCAGGTATCATCTCTCCATGAGCCTCATGGGCCCCTTCACTTCACTCTTGGTTTTACAGCCATCTTCTGGTTTAGTAAGAAATCCTTTTGCAATTGGCCAAGTCAGTATTTTATTAAAAAACACACACACACATACTCACTCATACACTGCTCATGAAGGCAGAGCCGGGAAAGGAGACAGATCTCGTCTTTGGGGACAGGCTGACCACATAGTGCTTCTACAGGCACGCCTCACTTTAAGAAAAAGAGCATCTTCAAGGCCCAATTCCCAAGCTAGATAAGTTAGGAGAGGGCTTGGTTTTTCTAGGCAGACTTAAGGCAGCTTCACTCCCATAAGGAGTGGGATTTGTGCAGGAGTATCCAGAAACCCCTCCATTGTGTTAAGTGCAGCCACCAGTCCCTGAGGCAGTTTTTAAAGCACAAGGGAGAGACCAGATTTCCCTGGAGGCTTCTTTTCCTTCCCAGGCAGGGAGGAATATTCTCCAAGGAAGGCCAGAGAGAGGTTCAGAGCAGCTTGGGAGCCCAGGAGGAAGGAGAAGGCCCCCTCCTGTGCCCACCAGCCTGAGCAGGACTTTGGCACAGGAACACAGGTTCAGAAATCTTTCCTAAGGTCACTGGCCCTCTGGTCCTCCTGTCTGCTGGGCTATAGGTCCTGCAGCGCCTCCTGTGGGTCAGAGGCTGTGGTGTCCTCAGACGGCTGCATCTTGGGAAGGAAAGGGCAAAGTGAGGATGGCTGGCCAGGGGGGGGCCCACCCACCCAGAAGCCAAACACCAGCCAGCTGCCCCATGTTCTGCTTGGTGCACTGCCTCCCTCCACCCAGCACCAACTTTCATTGGGATTATTTCATTCTTTTAAAATACATTTCAATAAAAGAAAAAAATTGCCCCAGCAGGCGTTTCTCAGTGGTTAGAGCATCGTGGATTTGATTCCCGGTCAAGGGCACGTACCTGGGTTGCATGTTCAATACCCAGCCCCAGTCAGGGCATGTGCAAGAAGCAACCAATCAATGTTTCTCTCTCTCTCCCTTCCTCTCCTTCCCTCCCTTCCACTCTCTCTAAAAATCGATGGAAAAAATATCCTCCAGTGAGGATTAACAGAAGAACTTACTGACACAGAAAGTATCTGATAGATGGTAAAGTAGGAGGCAAGATCAGGTTACAAAGTAATACATATTGTGCAGATCCTTTTAGCCAAAGCAACAGTACATCTATGTATCTCTACCTCTCTCTCTATATTATACAGAGAGAGGAAATCCTGGAAGGAAAGACACTCAGCAGGTGCTATTTCTGGAGAGTGTGATGACAGATGGTTTTTATTAAAAACATTGTTTTCTTATTTGCAGCTTCTAAATGGCCTATATATTATCTTTGTCATTAGGAAACAAAGAAAATGCCTCTCCATCAGAGGCTGACACGTTGGGCATTCCTGGGGGGGAGGGGCGGGCACCAGGACCAGAGCAGAGGTTCTTGGGTTACGCCTGCCCTCCTGGCGCCTGCGCTCTCGGGCCTCCTCCAAAGCAGGCTGCGCTCTATTGTAAAGCCCAGAACGGGCTGTCCTCCTGCCCCTGAGCACACGGAGCCATCAGAGATCACCTCTGTTCAGACAACCAGAACTCACCTGTTGACTGGGTCACACAAGAGATCTTGTAGGACAGCCACACACTCGCCAGGCAGAGGAAGGTGGCCACGAAACCGAAGATCTGCATAGGAGATAGAGGAGAGGAAGGTCCAGGCCAGGGCCAACCACTCGGGCAGTCCTTCTGCTTCTCACCTGTGTGCCTGTTCCCTGCGCTGACTGGGGCTGGGAGGGAGCTTGGGGAATCACCTGGCCCACACACCTTGTTCTTGCTCAGGTACAGAGATGAGGCCCTGTCCCCAGGTCCCCCGGCTGGGACCCAGGTCAGGCCTGCCAGCCAGGCCTCCGGGTCTTCTCGATCTGGGCAACTCTAGTGCCCACGTTCAGGTTTATGTTTCAACTAAGCTGGGCCAAACTACTTTACTTTAATTATCCCGGGAATGGCAAAGGGAAAACGTGGAATTGTTCATTTTAATGGGGGTTTTAAAATTTTTAATGTTCAAATGGATTTTATCGGTGTGGTAGCACTGTTTGCATTTCATTCATAATGATTTCTGTCTGGCTTTAGAGCTGTGCAGGAGCCAGGAACTGAGGTTTTGCTGCTTAGCCTCACTTTTGCACACACTGAAATACTGTTAGACTAAAATAAGTTCAGGCAGCGGTCTTTTCTTTTCTGAGGGGCCAACCAGTGCTCAACTGTGGGGACCTGGCCCTGTCCAGCCCCCTCATCTGTGGATGGGGATGAGGCACCCGGAGAGGAAGAGGGCCTCGCATGAGGCTCATCAAATGGGAAAGCGAGAAGCAGGCACACACCCTGGTGTCTTGCCTGGAACCTCAAAGCCTGAAGCCATTTTCCTTACTTGTGGACAAATCTGGCAGCTGCAGCTAAAATTTAATGAGCACTTACTATGTACCCACCAGTCTTCCAAGCCCTCGGGTGTGTTGATTCCATTAACCCTCACAACTGTTTGTCAGGTGAGTCCTGGTGTTACCCTCCCAGCCCCTCATTTTACAACTGAAGAAACGGGGGGACAGGAGGTCAACTATTTTGCCCAGGGCCACGGAGACAGCAAGGGCTAGACCTGAGATTGGAGCCCGGGGAGTCTGGCTCCAGAGTCCAAGCTCTGCTCTACTCATTGCCCAGGTGTCCTCAGACTTGCAAAAAGCCTCAGGTTCGCTATGTTGCCACCAAGTGCCTGGCGGAAACCACATCTGTCTTCCCGGATGAAGGGCATGGTTTTCAAGGTTCGGTTTTCTTTCCAAGCCTGGCTGCTGGTTTGCATACGTGGCTGCCTCCACAGGCTCACACCACCTCCCCTTCCCCTAGGTCCCTTTCCTTGGCTCCTTTTGTACCGATTGTCTGCGACACATAATTAGCCTATTAGAGCCTATTCTGGCCTCTCATTGTCTGTTCTGCACAATTAGCACTTTATATACCATCCCGGTCTCCAACTGTCCGCACTGCATAATTGAACAGTCTACTCTATCCCTACGTAATGCTATTCTGGATGACAATGCCTCGTTTGCTAATTGTTCCCCGTGCCTTGGCCTTGACTCCTGAGCTGGACCACCACTTTCTCATGAGCAAGGGACCTATCTTTTTATTTCCTCTGGTTCCCCTGTGGAACCAGGCTTGGTCCTAGGCACAGAGACGGTGTATGATAAGTGGGAATGAATGGGATTCCAGGGCTAACACCATTATGTGCAACCTGAATCATAAAGCCCAGTGGGAATCTCCCCCATGTGGGCCTGAGACACAGTGGGCACTTTTCTTTGCGTCTCCTGCACCAGCCTGTCTGCAGCTGGGCAGGGGGAAACCTGTAGGTGGCAACCACGCCTCTCCTTGGAGACTGCAGGGGCGGGTGGGAAGGAGGGACCTGGGAGGCACTTACGGGGCATGAGTGTTTAGAAGAGTGACCTTCTGCCCCATGCTGACCTTTAGAGGGCAGACTCTACCCCTCGGTGGAATTCCAGGCACGAACCCACTCTCAGCCCAAAGTCTGGGGAGTTTTGGTAATGTCTATATATGAAAGAGTGACTGTCACACAGGCAGCTTTTCTTAAGACTTGTTTTAAAAACTGCGCCTGTTCCTTGGAGAGGCAAATCAGCAAGTGGTCCATAGGCCACCAAGCTGTAAACAATTCACTACATCAGAAGTCCCACGACAGGAGTCCATAAGTCTTCAACATAATGACATACACATATGTACATATGTGTGATAAATATCGGTAGCCCCACCGCACTGCAGTTCTCTACACTTCCATGCTATTTCTATTTAGGCTATCGGATGGGTCAATTTTCACCTCTGAAAGGTAGAGGAGGGTTACTTCCTGGCCTGAATGCGGCTACAAGTTAGGACTGGCAAAGCTAGGGCTGATGGCCGAGATCGCTGACAGATCGCTGTTCCCTTGGGCCCAAAGGAGGCTCCGGAATCTTTCTCTGCACAGGGCCGAGGCAGCCAGGAGCAAATGACCACACTGAGCACATGATTCCAAACCCACTTGCCACCTGATCTAAGTGGCGGCTTCCAGAGAGAGGCCTGGGCCGCTGGGGCCGTATGTCTGCCAACAGCCCTGACGATTCACCTCCTGAGACCCTCCGCCGGGGACCCAAGTCTAAGGCTCTTTGGAGACCGGGCTGCCTGGATCGAGGCGGGCACCGATTCTGAGAAAGAAAGGCCCCTGAGAACAACCCCTTCGCTGTCCCCGTCAGGAAGATAGTGAGCATTCAGAACATGAACTCATGGCCGAAGGCGCCCCGGGAAGATCCTCACCGCTGCCGCCACCAGTTCGCTCTGGTTGTAACTCTTGGAGGCTGCGACGATGGAGGCGATTAGGAGGAGCAGGGTACCAATTAAATAGTGCAGAAGTTCCTGGGGGCAAAAACAAAGCAAAGCAGTGGGTTGGGGGATCCACTCCTGGCTCTCAGAGGCAACCGGGCGTCAGAAGAGATGAAGGGAAGTGGGGAGTGTAGCACCCCGGCAGGAGCAGCGTAAGGCCGGCCAGCAGGAGGCCAAGCAGGAGAGAAAAGGCGCCAGGCAGACAGGGCGAAGGGTACAAAGCGAAAGGGCGTCTGCGTGAGGACAGACGTCCATGAAGGGCTGCTCCACTCCTGAGACCGGCGTGTAGAAGTGCGGTGACCTCTGGCCAAAGCCACAAAGCCAACGCGCTTCTCCCACTCCCAGCCCGGGAAGCGAAGCCGCTTAAGGAGCTGCGTGCCTGCCTCTCGCTGCTGCTTCAGAGGACGTGCCGGCCTCACCACGTGCCGGCCCTGGTGGCTGCCCGGGGTGACTGCCTGTTCTGCGGACGGTTTTTTAGGTGTGGGCCCCTTCGGACGCGGAGCCAGAGCCTGGGGTGCGGTCAGCGCCCGCCTGTGAAGTGCCGGGGTGCGTGGCGGGAGCTGGCTTTCCCTCCCTGAGCCCCACGGGTTTTGGCCTCATTTCTTTCTTTCTTTTTCTTCCCACTTCTCTTCTCTTCGGAAGTGCGCCCCAGGCCAGGCTCTGCGGGTAAATCTAGGGGCCTGGGCCAGACCGACTCCGGCTTTGCTCCGGCCCCTGGTTCAGGGGCCCTTGTCCACCCCATTCCCTCTCCAGGATTAGGATGACATTCAGCAGCATGGAAATACTTCCACATCTTCCTTCCTCCCCAGTAAGCACCAGGTCAGAGCAGAACCGCGGGTAAGGCCACTCAGAGTGCTCGCTCTGAATCCAGCGTGTGTCCACTGTCAGTCTTCAGCGGGAGTTCAGGGGTGATTCCTGCGCGAAGTTCTGCCCGTTGGGGCAGGTGGCGACTACATTTTGGGAAGGCATTCCACCTGCAAGCTGCAGCTCCTCTCGGAGCTGTGCACAAAGACCCCGACGTCTCCCTTAACGACCAGAAAATATTGCAAGGTTGACCACAGAGATTTTGACTATGAGCAGATTGGTTAACTGGAGGCTCTCTGCCTCCAAGATGCTCACATAGAGAGGAGCGTGGCGTGGCGTGGCGTGGGGAAAATGACTTGAGAGTCCTGAACGCAAGGCGCCTAAACTGTACTCAGCTAGAGAACGTGTGGCTGAACTTGTCCCTCCGACATTCACCCCCTTTCCGCCCACCCTCATTCCTGTTCCCCAGCTTTTCTTTTCTCCTTTGCTTGTTCATTGGCAGCATCAGGGAAGCCCAGAGGAGCTTGTTCTCAAAAGAAGCCAAAAGGTGCCATAACTTTGAAAGGGGCCTTGGAACTCAGGAACACAAAAGAAGTGTATCTTAAAATAACATAGTGGGTAAATCGTTAAATGTGAACGATGAAACAATTCATTCAGGAAGCAGAGGTTGTTAGGTTAGATTAAAAAAAAAAAAATCCAACTAAATGCTTTCTAAAGGGGGCACACTTTATATTCAAGGAGACAAGTAGCTTGAAAGCAGAAAGAAAAGATTTGTCACTCAAATAGCAACCAGAAGAAAGCTAGAGTGGCTACAGTTGTATCAGACAAAATAGATTTTAAAAGAAAAAATGTTACCAGAGATTAAAAGAGGGACATTTTATAATGATGGAAATGCCAATCCATCAGGAAAATATAACAGTTATAAACATGTATACAATATGACAAGAGCAACAAAATACATGAAGCAAAAACTCAAAGGAATGAAGAGAAAAACAGATAATTCAAAAATAATAGTTGGAGGCTCCAATATCTCATTGTCAATAATGTTTAGAACAACTAGGGAGAAGATCAACAAGTCAATAGAAGACTCAGACGTAACAGACATCTATGAAACATTCTATCCAACAATAGTAGAATACACATTCTTCTCAAGTGCATATAAAACATTCTCTAGCACAGACCGTATGCTAAATCGTAAAACAAACCTCAATAAATGTAAAAGGATTGAAATAATACGAAGTATGCTCTCCAATTACAACGGAATGAAATGAGAAATCAACAGCAGGTAGAAATTTGGAAAACTCACAAATTTGTTGAAATTAAACAACACATTCCTAACTAATTAATGGGTCAAAGAAGAAATCACAGGGAAATTAGAAAACACTTGGAGATGAATGAAAATGAACACACAATATACCAAAATTATGGGATGCAACTAAAGCAGTGCTCAGAGAGATATATAGAGCTATAAATGTCTACATTAAAAGAGAAGAAAGGTTTCAAATTAATAACCTCACCTTCACCTTAAGACACTGGAAAAGAAGAGCAAACTAAACCTAAAGCAAGAAGAAAGAAAATACCAAGTATTGACAAGGATGTGGAAAAACTGGAACCCAAATACACTGCTGATGGGAATGTAAACTGATGTACCACTTTGGAAAACAGTCTGGCGGTTCCTCAAATAATTAAACATAGTCACCATCTGACCCAGCAATTCCACTCTTAGATATATTCCTAAGCAAAATGAAATAATGTCCATGCAAATAACTTGTACATGAATAAACAAAATGTGGTATATCTGTTCAATGGAATATTACTTGGCTCTGAAAAGGAATGAAGTACCGACACATGCTACAACAGATAAACCATGAAAACACTCTGCTAAGTGAAAGAAGCCAGTCACAGAAGACCACATATACGATTCCATTTACATGAAATGTCCAGAATAGGAAAATTTATAGGGACAGAAAGTACATTAGTGGTTGGTCAGGGCTGGAAGTGATGAAGGTAGAAGGTGACAACTAAAGGGCATGATTTCTTCTTGAGGTGATGAAATGTTCTAAAATTGACAGTGGTGATGCTTGCACAGCTCTGGGATTATACTAAAATCCACTGAATTAGACTCTCTAAATGGGTATGTGTATGGCATGTGAACTATCTATCAATAAAGCTGTTTTAAAAAATAATATAGTGGGAAGAGAAAACCCTGGCAACTATGAAATCTTTCCTCAGACTCTGCCAGTTCATTTTAGCTGACAACTGTTATAAATTCAAAACTCACAACGTTATAAAGACCCACCACCTTTGTCAGCTTCTCCTTTCTATGTTCCTCTTCCCAACCCACACACAGCCCATTATCTGTCACTTGAGAAATTAAACACTGGGATAAAGACAGAGTCTTCTTGTAGCTGGAAGGTGAGTTTTAGAAAGCAGTGGGACATCAGGCAGAGGTGTAAACCGAACAGTGGAAAAATCAGGGCTGAAACAGCTAAGGATGGTGCAAGAGGTGGGGTAGGCAGGCGAGAAGGGCTCCATGGCGTCTCGGCGCCCCAGCTAATACCCTGACCTCTGAGCCGAGAACAGGGCCAGGTCGCTCCCTTACCGACAGGGGCCAGCTGATACAGGTAAGCACGCGGTAGAGGCGGAAGAGGTGGACCAGGTAGAAGGCGAGGATCATTATCAAGTTGCAAATGGTGACCACTTCAAAGTATCTGTAGGCACTTTGGCTGATCCATGGAGAGCTCCTCACACAGATGAAGGCAATCAGCAGGGTGACCTGAGACATAAACACAGACACATCAGAGAAATACCCACCCAAGACAGGCTCCTGGGGAACAAATAGCAAGAAATAACAGAAGCCCAAACAACAACGGAAAATTGATCAACTGCTACAATTCGGGATACTTGCCCACACATTGGCTGGAAGAGTACAATTTCCTGTAGCACAAGCTTTTAAAATACATGCTGCTCGTGAATGCTAAGAACAGCTGAGAGTGACTGTCCTTTGGTCTGTTACATTGTGCTTTTAGGATGCCTCCTTGGAGAGAGGGCAGGAACGTGGGAAAATAGCCAAGCAGAACCATTCCCTTTATTTGCTGGACCTCCACAGAGCAAAGACACAGTCACTGTGATACTGCACCTTGGGTTTGCATATTAGGTGGAGCTGGAGGAAGCTGCCAACATCTGACTGTTTAGACCCACGAAGATGGCGATCCATGGGTTGCACTCTATCAGTTGGCAAACAATAGTTACTGTTTACTGAAGCCTGAAATACAGGGTCTCATGGATGCCTCACAGAGCTCTGCCAGGTAGATGAAATCACCCCCATGTTCATATGGGGAAACTGAGGCACATAGGTTCAATAATTAGCCCAAGGCTACCCAGCTTGTAAGCAACAGAAGTGGGACTGGAACCCAAGTCTATCTGACTCGGGGGACCATGTTCCTCTGTGTCAGATGCAGTTTTGCCTTTTAAAAACGGAAGCTGAGGAAGGTAAATGTCCCATGAAGTGTGTGAGAATCCTGGTAATGAGGTGCTGCTCGGTCACCACTGGGCGGGTGGTAAGAACTCACTTGCTAAGTGTGTTGTTGAATGAATGAATGAATGAATGAATGAATGAATGAATGAACAAGCAAATGAATGAGCAGAATTAATAAATTAATGACCTAGTGATGGGTTAACAGGTCAGGCAAATTATTAGCAGCGTACGACTACTACGGGAGAGAAGATTCTGGGTTTTGGGGAAGGCCACTCAGAGAGATAAATTCCTGTCCACTCTACAGAGGGAATAAACCAGTAACATACGTGTTACATGTATGTCAAATCTTAGGGTCTACTTTAAAAGCACAACTAATTTAGGACAAAAATTATTTTACGCTGCCCCTTTCCTACAGAACGGCGATTCTCAAAGGGCGTGTGTGTGAGATTTTGTGTCCGCTGGCAATGTCTGCAGACGTTTTTGGTTGTCACACTGTGGTGGGGATGCTATTGGCATAGAGTGCCGAGGCCATGAGTGCTGCTATACACCCCACAATGCACAGGACAGCCCCTGTAAAGAGCACAGTCTGGTCTCCTAGGTGGCCCAGGCTGTGGCGCTGCTGTGGAGAAACCTGCTGTAGGAAATGTGGGTCTGTAATGAGAATTAAACCACAACATGGATCTAACGGTGGTTAAAGTCAATGCTAAGAGTGCTCATTTCTAAAGCCCCTCATTTCGGGTTACTACCAAGGTCCTCAGCAACAGGCACAACAGCTGGAAAAAGAACTCCCGGCTTGAGGCTTGGAGCGGACATGAAGAAAGCTCTGCTCAACAGGTCACAGCAGAAGAGTGCGGTTGACAAGAAGGGACCCTCAACACTGGTGCATTTCCCTTTGCTAATGAGCAGCGCATTTTCATGTTCTCGGTTCCTCTCCAGCCCATCAGCCATGGCGACAGAATGATTCATGCCTTGAGCTTGTTGCAAAGCTTGGCTTCACTCAGGAGCACATGGTGGCCAGGGCTCTGCTGCATGGTGAGTCCCCAGACTCAGGCCTCCTCCGTCTGGGCGTCGACGGGCCTCAGTCCTACACCGACCCCCTCACTCGCTGCGGCATTTTATTCAAGGCCTGCCTTACAATGCACACAATCCAGCATCAGGCAGTGGGATGAAGTTCTGCACCTAATTTAATGCAAAGATTAGCATAATTCTTACAGCCCTTCATCTGTGACAGGGTGGTGACACAGAGATATGGGAGTTTCCCAGTGACCAAAAGGGGCTCCAGCAGGTCTCCCCCTGAGCAGGCCTGGCCTCTCCATGCTCTCGCCAAGTCTGGGCCACTGAGTGTGCCTGTGTCTGGCTGAAGCTGGCAGGTCACCCGACCCCAACCTCTTGCAAGAGTTTTCATTCGGACCTTGGAATAATGTTTCCACGAGAGAGACAGGTAGCAGGAGGGGGAAGTAAGGGATGAAAGGCAACAGCAAAAAGTCTCAGGCCCAACTCTAAGAGGCTTTTCTGGAAAAGACCAGGAGCTGAAAGCCAGGTGTGTTCAAAAAGTCAGAGACGCAAATGATGAGACTCAGGGTTGGAAATTGCGTGGAGATGTACGTAGGCCCATAAATGACTTTGCTTGGCAGTGGGCAGGTAGGAAGAAGAATGTGAAATGTTCCCAACTTTGGCTGAATTCTGCCCTGGGGTGTAGACAAATTTACCCCCACCTCCCCATTAAAGCTCCCACTAGTCATCACCAGGAAACAGCCCTGGTGCCATCACAGTAAAACCCACTGAGAGAGAGAACCCTCACCCTGTCTTCCTCCCCCCACCCCATCCCACCCAGCAACATCAGACTTGTGCTACAGGTTTCTTTCCACCCTCTCACGCCCAGCACCTAGTTTTGTTCTGTATTAAAATACAAAACTGCCATAGAAAACACAAGGGAGGGGAATCATCCAGGAAACCTTATGTCAGGGGCCCTCAGGTCCAGGCCCCGAGCAGCCAGGTAATGTACCGGTTTCTGAATCCAACCCTGCGGCAGTCACTGCGGTAAGCTAAAGAGCAGAGCCTGCTCGCTCGTGCTGGGAGTATTTGAGGAAGGCCATGTACGAAGCTGTGAACAGTGGTTGCTTCTGGGGAGGAGAATGAATTATTTAGTGGTTGAGAAAATTCGCTTATTTTGTTCTTTGGTATTATAAAGATCACATATTAAGTTGTAAAATAGCTTTTTTTTTTTTTAAATGCCATGTCTTGGAGATCATTAATGGCACATATATACAGATCAACCTTTTTTTTTTTTTTTTAATTTATCTTTACTGATTTTAGAGAGAGGGAGAGGGAGAGAGAGAGAGAAACATCAATGATGAGTCATCACTGATCAGCTGCCTCCTGCATGCCCCCTGCTGGGGATGGAGCCTGCAACCTGGGCATGTGCCCTGACCGGGAATCAAACCACCATCTCCTGGATCCTAGGTCGATGCTCACCCGCTGAGCCACGCCCGGCTGGGTTACCCCTTTCTTTAAATTGGCTGCAGCTTCATTTGACCCAGGCCTTCTCAGCCTGAGCACTAGTGACATTTGGGGCTGTCTCATAGGATGTTTAGCAGACAGGAGTGACAACCAAAAATGTCTCCAGACATCGTCAAAAGGTCCTCAGGTTGAGAATCACTACTTTAGACAGTCTTTTATTAACAGGCATTTATCACATCTCCAGTTTCTTACAAATACAGACAATTTTGCAAATATTCTTAGACACACTTCTTCGTATATGTGTGCACATTTCTGTATGAAGATTCCTGGAAGGGAAATTACCAAGTGAAAGCATATTTAAGATTTTGATGTTTGCTGCCAAAATGCTATCCAAAAAAGATATGAGTTTCCCTGAATAGGAAATCTTGCCAAACAGATTATTATCAGTGTTTAAAAAAATGAAAACAGCCCTGGCTGGTGCATCATGGGTCACTGGAACAACAAATCGATGTTCCTCTCTTTCTCTCTCTCAAATAAAAAAAAAGAAAGAAAATACTATCTTCTTAATCTTCATTTCCCTGATTACTAGTTGGTTGAATATCTTTTCATATGTTTATAGGTTGTTGCCTGTTCATATTCTTGGCCTATTTTACTATTATTTGTATTTTTATTATGGATTTTAAGAACTCTTTATATTCTGAATACTAACCTATTATCTTTATACATATTACAAATAATTCTCTCAGTCCCTCATTTGCCTTTATTTTCAGTCTTTCATTTTACCAAAGTTTAACTTTTGCATATGTTTGTAGTTTTCCATAATGAAAAAGTTAAAATATATAATGCCCAATAAGCTCAGAGAAATAACTAACTGCCATAAGGAGGGGAGAAGAGGGGGGAAATGAATTGAGATTTGTAGTCATTGCTCTTACCATCAAGGCACGAGTGGAAGTTATTTTTAGTTTTAGACTATAAAGGAGGAAATGCATTTTGCGAGCAATTCAGGTAGTGTGACACCACGGGGCTTCATCCAAGACCAGACAATGATTCTTGGTTCCTTCCAAAACCCAAATGAAAGGGCAACAGAGGTCACGTCCTGACCACAGCCAGACCGAGAGAGGAGGTTTTACAGTCACAAAAGTCACCAGGGCCAACACCAGTGCAGAGACTCAGGCACAGTGTGTCTGGTGCACACCAGTGTAGGAGTGGGGCCACAGGGCCATGGGTGGGCCACAGGTGGGCAGCTGTTGCTTGTAGCTTCCCCAAAGGTGGTGCAAGGGGAGCTGAACACAACTCGTCTGACTCTGCAAAGGACAAAAGGAACATTCTGCTTTGTTTTTCTTAATCTCCACCTGAGGATATTTTTCCATTGCTTTTAGAGAGTGGAAGGGG